TTGTGGTCAGATGAGACCAAAATCGAGCTCTTTGGCATCAACTCAACTCGCCGTGTTTGGAGGAGGAGGAATGCTGCCTATGACCCCAAGAACACCATCCCCACCGTCAAACATGGAGGTGGAAACATTATGCTTTGGGGGTGTTTTTCTGCTAAGGGGACAGGACAACTTCACCACATCAAAGGGACGATGGACGGGGCCATGTACCGTCTAACTTGGTTGAGAACCTCCTTCCCTCAGCCAGGGCATTGAAAAAGGGTTGTGGATGGGTATTCCAGCATGTGACCCAAAACACAATGACCCAAAACACACAGCCAAGGCAACAAAGGAGTGGCTCAAGAAGAAGCACATCAAGGTCCTGGAGTGGCCTAGCCAGTCTCCAGACCTTAATCCCATAGAAAATCTGTGGAGGGAGCTGAATGTTCGAGTTGCCAAACGTCAGGCTCGAAACCTTAATGACTTGGAGAAGATCTGCAAAGAGGAGTGGGACAAAATCCCTCCTGAGATGTGTGCAAACCTGGTGGCCAACTACAAGAAACGTCTGACCTCTGTGATTGCCAACAAGGGTTTCGCCACCAAGTACTAAATCATGTTTTGCAGAGGGGTCAAATACTTATTTCCCTCATTAAAATGCAAATCAATTCATAACATTTTTGACATGCGTTTTTCTGGATTTTTTTGTTGTTATTCTGTCTCTCACTATTCAAATAAACCTACCATTAAAATTATAGACTGATCATTTCTTTGTCAGTGGGCAAACGTACAAAATCAGCAAGGGATCAAATACATTTTTCCCTCACTGTACACCTCAAATATACATTAACACACTGAAACCGCAAATCCTCCATATAATTAATCTCATAGGCCTAATAGTACTGTAGAGCTCTTTTTACTTGCACACATTATAGCTGGGTCGCCCTGTCCTGCCCCTAGGGGTCCACCACCCTGCAGCGCCCCAACCCCACACACCCCACTCAGATTTAGGATCTTAGTGAAACATTAATTTATTGGTTTTGGGTGTGTTAGGCCAAGGCCAGAGTGACAACCCACAGGACGGCAGACCCCCAGGGTCAGGACTGAACAGCCCAGCAGCTAGGGATTGCCTAAATAGGTATCTCCACTGTCGTGGGCATGTTTTCAATACAGACTCCTTTAGTCATACTGTATTCCATATAAGGCATCCCGACCTTATGAAAGTTGCCCAGTATACCCTTAATCTTGAAATAAATCAAATGTAGTGATACATAAACTTGACATTTCTGCCATCCATTGTGACATTGTTGGAAGATAATCAACCTTCCAATTAATGGCAATGCATTTCTTAGCTGCTATAAATGCTTGGTTACACAGTTTCTTCAGATAAGTCTCCAGTATCAACATTGCCAAGCAAATAAAAACAGGGAGAAGGGAGAATCTGTAGACATGCTGAGATAAAAGGACATACTCTTTGCCTGAATTCAGCCAGCCTTCACAAGACCATAACATATGCAAATATGTCCCCTTTTGTGTTTTACACCTCCAGCAGAGGAATGACATTTCTTTTTTTTCCAGTTTCACTGGCCTATAGTACGTTCTATGGATGGTCTTAAACTGCAGTAATTTATGTCTGAGATGATATGAACATGACTGGGCATTCAAACATATCTGTATCCATTCATCATCATCATCAATAGCTTCTACCGGGTCTTCCTCACATGTTTTGTGTCATTGGGAAAATGCCTGCGGGTCCCGACAGAGGTCATTGCGGCACGGTCGGCATTTTTCATGCTGCGGACAGTCAGACAGACGACTTTGGATGAAAATATTTTTGTTGTCCCACAGATTATTTGGAAAAGGTCCTCTTTCAGCTTTATATGTGTTAGCCTACCTATTGTATTAAAAGCACATATTTTTCGCATTATTCACACTCAGAATTTGCTGCTTCAACTTCAGTAGCCTACCTCTCCTAGTTGGGCGTGAGAGTGCAATTGCGCCTAGTATGTGTGGTCTCTTCAAATAGAGTAGGCTGCATAGATGGGCGGAGGATCAAGTGGTAGTTAACTTAAATGTGAAATTGACTTATATAGGATTAGACTGTAGTTTACTACAGTGTCTGTAAATAAATAGGCTATTGATAATGGAAAGTGGAGGGCGCTCAACCAACGTGAGTCAAAGTGCAATAAAAAAATGTAATCATCATTGAGGAAAACTAAAAGGCACACAAGGCGCACATAGGTTAGGCTACTATGTTAAGCGAGCGTTGCACCTTTTCATTTTCAATAAGTATTGATTACCCATTTATTTGTCTCTGCCTCCTAAAAGGTAAGCTATATCATATAGGCATATGCAAAATGTAGGAAGTGTCGCTGTCATCATTCTTGCTGCTTCAAGTTCAGGAGCCATACCTGTGAGATCAGGTGCGCGTGTGGTCTCAATTAAATAGAGTAGAGTGGTCCTCTGTAGCTCAATTGGTAGAGCATGGCGCTTGTAACGCCAGGGTAGTGGGTTCGATCCCCGGGACCACCCATAAGTAAAAATGTATGCACTCATGACTGTAAGTCGCTTTGGATAAAAGCGTCTGCTAAATGGCATATTATATTATAGGCTATAGCCTATGTATGGGCAGAGAAGCACGGGGCAGTTATCTTTCCAAGGAAATGTCCTTCCTAAATGCTTTACTATATTGAAATAGGCCTAAATATTGATCAACCATATGTCTCCTTCTGAAAATCTTCCCACTCCTAAAAGGTAGGCTATACAAATAGCTCAAGAGAAAGTGCAAGTGTCTCCTACTCTGCTCTCTTCAAACTACCTCTAGCATATTGGATGATATAGCCCAGTAATACAGATAGCCTAATATTAGGGCCATGTGAGAATCTCTGGTAATTTCTTAAATTATTTGTGCGCATTTGATATTGCATACAGGGCGCAACATTTCTGGGACCATGGCTGGCAAGTGAGCTGCATCACATTTGCCTAAAATAACATTGAGGGACTGTGGTTGGGTTTGGGACAAGTTCTTGCAGTAGCAGGTGGGAGTCAGACAGAAAGCCAGCCGGTGCGGGCGGGGTGCGGGCGGATGTGGGCGGGGTGCGGGCGGGAGCGGGATTAAGAAATCAGTTCGCTCTACTGTGCACCATGACAGTGAAACCTGTAATGTTAGAGCTGTTTATTACTGTGTCAGTGTGAAAAGTAGGGCATTAGCTAGGGAAATTGACAAATCAATAACATTACATTGCCATACTGACTAATAAAAACTCACATTGCACTGAAAAAAACGTCAGAATATCAATTTTCAATCATTTGGCTGATGGTTTCATCCTTTGACTCAGGTCTAGTGTGATTGAGGCAAAAATAATAGCTAACATTAGCCAACTTTTGGCCAGCTCTCTCTCTCTAACGGTACATCAGCTGGCGAAAGCTAACCAAGTTAATTTACTTCTGTTGAAACAGGACAAAACAAAGGCTACAAAACATTTCCATACAAACAACTGCTGTTAGAATCATTAGATCATTTGTTTTGGTCCATTTGTAGCTTGTTTTTGGACACAGGTCCAGAAATAGCTCAAGGATTGCAATGTTTACCTGGAGCTAACCCTGCAAATAGCACTACTGGGTGATCTGAAAAGTCATAGTCAATCGATTAATAATATAATAATACTTTTAGCAAAAATGTTTATTTTCAATTTGCTATCTGTAGAAACAATGAGAATAGAAAGGTTCAGAACTTTTGTAAAACATCACAGTACAGTTGAAAAAGATATGGCAAATAGAAATCCAATATGGATGGCGTTAAGAGATAGATGGGAGGTGTTGAATGGAGCTGAAGGATGGGACTAATAACAACAACTAATAACAACAAGATAACTAATGTAAAGCATACTGTGTCCATAATAAGTATATAGGTTATAGGTTGAGAGCTTTTGTGAAAGAGCACAGTTAGAAAAATATGGCATATAGAAGCAAACCAGGTGGACATCATGAAAATGATCGGAGGAAGTTTAGGAGTAAAAACAAACAAAATAGAATTATTGTAGAATTTGACTGTGTCCATAAAATGTATATTTTTGATGAACCTTTGATGAAAATTACAGGCCTCTCTCATCTTTTTAAGTGGGAGAACTTGCACAATTGGTGGCTGACTAAATACTTTTTTCCCCCACTGTATGTATGTATGTATGTATGTATGTATGTATGTATGTATGTGTGTGTGTGTGTGTATGTATGTATATATATATATATATATATATATATATAGGCGAGAGAAAAAAAACATATGGTGGATTGGAAGTGATGCAGACAATTACATTGATGGAAGTTACAATCTATCCGAAATATTAAAGCTGATCTACAAAAAAAAAAAAATGCTGTTAGTAATAATAGCCACCTCATATCGCTATCTGACAGATAGCTAGAGGCTAGAGCTGACCTGGCTGTGGTAGCTACTAGCTAGCGTAGCTAATTCATTCACCTCAGTCGAGAGGGGAGGGAATGAAACATTAGCTAACGGTACATGTCAGTTACAATACTAGCTCAGCACTGCGAATAAACACTAGTTCCGTTTTTTTCTGTTAAGTTAAACAGCAGTTACCTTGTCAGCTACTTCAGTCACCTAAAGAGTAGCCAGTTTGTGCTCTACTTGCTTTTACAACTCTGTGAAAGAGCGCAACACATACACACTGAACTATGCTCAACTCTCCCATGCTGGTCCAGCCAGCCTTCCAGAAGCTTTGCCTTCACACAGCCTGTCAGCCCGCTCTGTGGTATCCAAGCAGTCCTAAATCCAGCTGGCTGAACACTCCAAACAGCCTACCCCACCGCTCGGAGGCATGGTCCTAAAGCACACCGTTGCCTCTTTTTGTATCACATTGCAATGATAAAACTGGGGGGGACAAAAATGCAATTTCAGAATGTGGGGGGGACATGACCCCCCCGTCCCCAGTGAAAGTTGTATCCCTGGTTGTGGGGGTCTCTCCTTCCCGGTAGGCAAAACAGCTGGGGAAGATGCCAATGTAACCAGCACAGTGTCCCTCCAGCCACTCCTCGTTGACTGGTAGACAGACGGGGGAGAGGGAGGGGGGGGGGGGGGGGGGGGATATAGAGTCATTTGTCAAAACAGGAGGTTACATACTTACTGTGCACTTAAAAAGCACAAGACTTCATAATTTCTCATGCTCCATTACCTTCACTAAGAATGTCAATAGTGTCTCCCTCACTGAACTCCAAGTCCTCTGGGCCCTCTGCTGCATAGTCATACAGTGCCACCATCTGGTAGAGAATGGTACGGTTGGCCAGGGGGTCCTCAGTCTGACACAGAGAGATCAGAGGAACATACAGGTTAGCTTTTACTCAGAAATGAGCCACACATTTCATTGAGGCATTTCAGTTCAAAATGGGCCTGTGCTACATACAGTATATTGTACTATTGATGATTCCAGAGACATACACTATAGGTCTTTGTCCCAAATGGCACCCTATTCCCTATATACTGCACTACTTTTTGCCTGAGCCCTGTGGATCTTACCTGGCACCACAGTGTGGTTCTGCCTGCCTCTACCTCCGCCAGCAGGGCCCTGAGCCCCTCCTCCCCATCCAGAGGCTTCAGCGCCTGGGAGCCATGCTGCCTGTGTCTGGGGTGGAGAGAAGGAGTGGAAGAGGAGGAGAGGAGGAGGGAACAGGGGAGAGGGAATGGGAGAAAGGAAGAGAGGGGGAGAGAGTGGCGGAGAGGAAGAGAGAGAGGGGGATAGAGTGAGGAGGGGAGAAGGAGAAAGGGGATAAAGTGGACACGCATGAGGGTGAGTGGTGATATTTTTAGTGCGGTAGCAGCAATTAAAATTCAAGGTGACAGAAATGGGTTGGCAGGTCTGCAGTTACCTGAGGCGCAAGTGTGAGGCTGGCTGCCCCAATTTGTGTGCAATTCTCTCCTGTAGTTCATCGTACGGTGTGCCTAAAGGGACACTCAGAGCCACGGTGTATCTGTAATGCACCTTTACCACCACAGACCCAGCCTCTTCTCCCTGGGGTGAAATGGGATCCTGTGAGAAAACATGGCAATTCTCTCTTAGAAACAAACTTGGCATGGGAAGTATATGCACTTTCTACATGACTGCATGAAAAACAAAACATACAGTGAGGGAAAAAAGTATTTGATCCCCTGCTGATTTTGTACGTTTGCCCACTGACAAAGACATGATCAGTCTATCATTTTAATGGTAGGTTTATTTGAACAGTGAGGGACAGAATAACAACAAAAAAATCCAGAAAAACGCATGTCAAAAATGTTATAAATTGATTTGCATTTTAATGAGGGAAATAAGTATTTGACCCCTCTGCAAAACATGACTTAGTACTTGGTGGCAAATCCCTTGTTGGCAATCACAGATGTCAGACGTTTCTTGTAGTTTGCCACCAGGTTTGCACACATCTCAGGAGGGATTTTGTTCCACTCTTCTTTGCAGATCTTCTCCAAGTCATTAAGGTTTCGAGGCTGACGTTTGGCAACTCAAACCTTCAGCTCCCTCCACAGATTTTCTATGGGATTAAGGTCTGGAGACTGGCTAGGCCACTCCAGGACTTTAATGCGCTTCTTCTTGAGCCACTCCTTTGTTGCCTTGGCCGTGTGTTTTGGGTCATTGTCATGCTGGAATACCCATCCACGACCCATTTTCAATGCCCTGGCTGAGGGAAGGAGGTTCTCACCCAAGATTTGACTGTACATGGCCCCGTCCATCGTCCCTTTGATGCGGTGAAGTTGTCCTGTCCCCTTAGCAGAAAAACACCGCCAAAGCATAATGTTTCCACCTCCATGTTTGACGGTGGTGATGGCGTTCTTGGGGTCATAGGCAGCATTCCTCCTCCTCCAAACACGGCGAGTTGAGTTGATGACAAAGAGCTCAATTTTGGTCTCATCTGACCACAACACTTTCATCCAGTTCTCCTCCAAATCATTCAGATGTTCATTGGCAAACATCAGACGGCCCTGTATATGTGCTTTCTTGAGCAGGGGGACCTTGCGGGGGGCTGATTTCAGTCCTTCACGGCGCAGTGTGTTACCAATTGTTTTCTTGGTGACTATGGTCCCAGCTGCCTTGAGATCATTGACTAGATCCTCCCGTGTAGTTCTGGGCTTATTCCTCACCGTTCTCATGATCGTTGCAACTCCACGAGGTGAGATCTTGCATGGAGCCCCAGGCCGAGGGAGATTGACAGTTCTTTTGTGTTTCTGCCATTTGCGAATAATCGCACCAACTGTTGTCACCTTCTCACCAAGCTGCTTGGCGATGGTCTTGTAGCCCATTCCAGCCTTGTGTAGGTCTGCAATCTTGTCCCTGACATCCTTGGAGAGCTCTTTGGTCTTGGCCATGGTGGAGAGTTTGGAATCTGATTGATTGATTGCTTCTGTGGACAGGTGTCTTTTATACAGGTAACAAGCTGAGATTAGGAGCACTCCCTTTAAGAGTGTGCTCCTAATCTCAGCTCGTTACCTGTATAAAAGACACCTGGGAGCCAGAAATCTTTCTGATTGAGAGGGGGTCAAATACTTATTTCCCTCATTAAAATGCAAATCAATTTATAACATTTTTGACATGCGTTTTTCTGGATTTTTTTGTTGTTATTCTGTCTCTCACTGTTCAAATAAACCTACCATTAAAATGATAAACTGATCATTTCTTTGTTAGTGGGCAAATGTACAAAATTAGCAGGGGATCAAATACTTTTTTCCCTCACTGTATTTCTACAAAAAGCTCTTTCTACGTGATTGTTTAGGAAACAAACATGAGTGAATGATCATAAGGAAACTTTCAGAAAATTGTTCTCTCCTGACAGAAAATTGTATAACTGGATTGGCTACATTGCATGGACAGAAACACTCTCACTGAAACCTCTCTTTTCCATAGCCAGTCAGTCAGGCATCTTATGGGAAAGTATAACAGCCGTCACACGAGAAGTCCATTACATTTTGGCACAGGCATCAGGGAGATTTTAAGAGGTAATTTCTTCTTATGAAAAAATTCAGGTCACTGACATGCTGAGGCACAAAATCTGAAAACTGACTACATCTCCCTCCCCTAGGCTTTCTATTGACTTAATCAGGGCACATCATCAGCATTCTACTCGTTACACCACTTTATGAGTCATACAATTATTTATTTATTTATCCACAACTCCATCAGTATACCATACAGTATGTAAACCCAGCTGGAAGGAAGTACAGTATAACATATTTTGTGGGTGTCAACTGATTACTCCAGTACCCCTGCCCATTGAATAAGGTACTGGCACTGACCTGTATATACTTGCATTCTCATGCTCTTTAACTCACATTGAGTTCTTGTGCGTTTATTTTTATTCTATTTCTATAATTATCTATATTATTATTATTATCACTGCATTGTTGGGAAATAGCTTTCAAGGTAAGAATTTCCCTGTACTGTTTTACACCTCTTGTATCCTGTGCACATGGCAAATAAACGTTGAAACCTTGATCCTTCTTTGAATCACGCTGATACACATTCTAGTTTCCCTGTGAGATACGTACTTATACCACAGTACACCTTGAGGACAGATTGACCTGCTATCTTTAGAGGAATAAATTACATCTTAATTTTACCTTTAAATGTATTATTTCCGCTGGTGATTAACAGTTACAAACTCAGAGACAAACACTGATTAAGTCAGGCCCTTTACTCACCAGTTCAGTGGGGCTGTCTACTGTGGATGTGTACTTCGGTAGCGGGGTGGAGGTGTTTGGTGGGTGGGTGGCATAGGATGGTAGTGATGCCTCTCTAACTGGGCTCTCTGCAGATGAATTACAGTACAACATTAAAAAGGCTGAACACTCAGTGAAGAGGTTTTCATGACTACTTAAAATTATCACATTTATACCGGTAGTACTGTACATGGTCATGCCAGAATAACGACTGATATCATTAAATAAACAACAAAAGGTGCTTTAGTTTAGATTAATGCTGGCCTGGCTCCATCCCCTTGTCCTGTCCTCTGCCAGAGGGGTTAAATGAGGTGAGTCTACCCTGTGGGCGAGTGGGCGGCCTGAGGTCCGGTGGGAGGGGGATCCCACTGGGAATACTCTGTGGAGGGCACATCAGAACAGGGTAGTCAAGGTAACAGATCTCTCTCTGTGCTTTCTATTACAGCAGTTAACTATCCAGAGAGGCTGGGCTAATGATTGCTAGTCCTTTTATGACACCTCTCTCCCTCATTGTTAAAATCCAAGGGAATTCAACAAGCCTGTCTGTCCTCTACATCTAGAAGCGTTAAGCAGGTGCAACTTTGGTACAATGTGATACAGTGAAGATAAAGCTCTGTTCAGCAAATGAAAATTGAGAGATTAAAGAGCCCAGATAAAAAACTGTAAATGAAGCTGCCCCTAAATGTAATGGCACATTTAGTTCAGCTCTATAACATACATTGTCTTAGTAAAACATTAAATGGGCTGAAATAATAGAAACAAAAAGTCTTACTTTATTATTTTTCCTGCCTTTGGACTTCTTGACATCCACTGGGTCTAGCAGTGTCATGGGGACAAGTCCTTTCTAAAGGACGAAAGAGATGAAAGATGAGTGGTAATGAAATATTGAAAGGCATAGATGCACAATCATACAGAAAGAAGACAGGCCACAATAAAAGGAGTAGGTGCACTGGCGTAGTGGAAACCCCCGCAGTCCCCGTTATATAATTTGTTAGTTATTTTTTATTAAACAATTTTGACAGTAACCTTTCTTTTTAATTTCCACATGTAGCAAGTGAAGCGTTTGTGTTGTCCAGTCTACATGGTAGTAGGTGAGGCAGACAGACAATATACACTGCTCAAAAAAATGGGAAACACTTTTTTTTTTTAAAGGGAACACTTAAACAACACATCCTAGATCTGAATGAATTAAATAATTTTATTAAATACTTTTTTCTTTACATAGTTGAATGTGCTGACAACAAAATCACACAACAATTATCAATGGAAATCAAATTTATCAACCCATGGAGGTCTGGATTTGGAGTCACCCTCAAAATGAAAGTGGAAAACCACACTACAGGCTGATCCAACTTTGATGTAATGTCCTTAAAACAAGTCAAAATTAGGCTCAGTAGTGTGTGTGGCCTCCACGTGCCTGTATGACCTCCCTACAACGCCTGGGCATGCTCCTGATGAGGTGGCGGATGGTCTCCTGAGGGATCTCCTCCCAGACCTGGACTAAAGCATCCGCCAACTCCTGGACAGTCTGTGGTGCAACGTGGCGTTGGTGGATGGAGCGAGACATGATGTCCCAGATGTGCTCAATTGGATTCAGGTCTGGGGAACGGGCGGGCCAGTCCATAGCATCAATGCCTTCCTCTTGCAGGAACTGCTGACACACTCCAGCCACATGAGGTCTAGCATTGTCTTGCATTAGGAGGAACCCAGGGCCAACCGCACCAGCATATGGTCTCACAAGGGGTCTGAGGATCTCATCTCGGTACCTAATGGCAGTCAGGCTACCTCTGGCAAGCACATGGAGGGCTGTGCGGCCCCCCAAAGAAATGCCACCCCACACCATGACTGACCCACCGCCAAACCGGTCATGCTGGAGGATGTTGCAGGCAGCAGAACATTCTCCACGGCGTCTCCAGACTCTGTCACGTCTGTCACATGTGCTCAGTGTGAACCTGCTTTCATCTGTGAAGAGCACAGGGCGCCAGTGGCGATCTTGGTGTTCTCTGGCAAATGCCAAACGTCCTGCACGGTGTAGGGCTGTAAGCACAACCCCCACCTGTGGATGTCGGGCCCTCATACCACCCTCATGGAGACTGTTTCTGACCGTTTGAGCTGACACATGCACATTTGTGGCTTGCTGGAGGTCATTTTGCAGGGCTCTGGCAGTGCTCCTCCTTGCACAAAGGCGGAGGTAGCGGTCCTGCTGCTGGGTTGTTGCCCTCCTACGGCCTCCTCCACGTCTCCTGATGTACTGGCCTGTCTCCTGGTAGCGCCTCCATGCTCTGGACACTACGCTGACAGACACAGCAAACCTTCTTGCCACAGCTCGCATTGATGTGCCATCCTGGATGAGCTGCACTACCTGAGCCACTTGTGTGGGTTGTAGACTCCGTCTCATGCTACCACTAGAGTGAAAGCACCGCCAGCATTCAAAAGTGACCAAAACATCAGCCAGGAAGCATAGGAACTGAGAAGTGGTCTGTGGTCACCACCTGCAGAACCACTTCTTTATTGGGGGTGTTTTGCTAATTGCCTATAATTTCCAACTGTTGTCTATTCCATTTGCACAACAGCTTGTGAAATGTATTGTCAATCAGTGTTGCTTCCTAAGTGGACAGTTTGATTTCACAGAAGTGTGATTGACTTGTAGTTACATTGTGTTGTTTAAGTGTTCCCTTTATTTTTTTGAGCAGTGTAGTTGTCATGCATCCAATTAGCCTATTTCTCGGCAGCGGCCTCCTCAGCCTCCTCACCTAATTGGCTATCAAGTATCCAGAAAGTTAGGTGAATCAGGTCGGACTCGGATGGTGAGTGAGTGCGTTGTTCAAGATGGATAAACAAAAGGCAAGAAAGACCAAGTGGTGCACAAAAACGCTGTAAAAAAAGCTTTATCTGATCAAGCTCGTGCCAAATTACCAAAGATAACAATCAGCAAAGCTACCACCTCATCCTCGAATGACGAAACACCATCGCAGGTGGAAGCTAGTAGGCCTACTTATGCAGCAGCTGGCACTAGCAGCCTCCCAGTCCAGACAGAGACCTCACTGCCCTGGCCCGGCAATGACAGTGGCCTTGCTCCTCCTCTTCTTCCTCCCCTCAAGAATAGTGACAGTTCCTCTAGTGAGAGTCCCTCCTACTCTCCCAGAAAACCAAGCTGATGACTGCCAGAGACCCAGCGGCGCTCATGAGAGCGAACCCCATTCTGTGAACACTGGTAAGCCTACGAGTGATGGGATGGATAGCCCCGACAGCGTGGAGTCTGAGTTCGAATGTGTAATATGAATAGACTTCCAGCTAAATACTGTATATAGCTATAGATAGGCTAGTAGGCTATCGATTGCCAGACAGCTCTTGTGGGCAGCAGAGTCTCGTGTGGAATATGGAAGTATTGCATTGTTCTTATGTGCTTTGTAGTTCAAGCATCATTGTTAGCTTCAACTATGGAGTAGCGGCCACTAGTTAAAGGTGTATTTCACCTGTCCATCGTGTATGACCGTGGCCAGTCCATCTCTTTCCACATCACTGAAGAGAAACACCATGGCTCCCCCTGGCACCGTCAGCTGACCAGGGCCCTGGGATATGTAGGGGGTACGCAGACGCATGTAGCGAGAATCCCTATGGGGAGGCAAATACACCATTAGAAGTAAAGGGTAAACATGCACACTACCATGCTTTTCTCACTTGTGGTGCAGGGAGTGAAAAACCCTAAATAAACACACACAATTTTACTTTTGGACATGTATTATCTAGAAAAGACACCATGTCACTCAACCCACCATATTAACAATGAACATCTTCTTTGGATTTAATTATCAGCTCTGAGCTTTTCCTATGATGTCCCTAACCATTTTTCTGCTCCAATGACATTCATTTTGGGAACATAATTAGATGTCAGTGTGAATAATGTAACTTACTCCACTCTATCCACCTTGGGCTCGTAGTATCCAGGTTTCTGTTCGGAGGACAGAGTCACAGTCAGAGGGAGAGACAGAAGGCATGGGCTTTGGACTGTCCCCCAAATGGTACCCTATTCCATTTTTAGTGCACTGCTTTGGGTAGGCAACTAGATTCAGCCGTGGGAGGATTTTGGTCGGAGCGAATGGTCGGGGAGGGGGGGGCAGAATATAATCATAATTTGTACACTGCAAATTGACCACAAAAAAGGCCAAAGATTTCATACCTTGATTACATTGAGACACGTACAGTATGTCTCATATTTTATTTGTGGGAATACTTGGGAAAAGATTTCCTAAAATAAAGTAATCTTCTGCTGAATTACTGGTAATTTTACAGTCATTTTTTATAAAATATTATGGGGGTAAAAAAAAATAAAACACCTGTTGCCCACCGCTGAAATAGGGTGTAATTTGGGATGCACACATGGTTTTGTGCAATTGCAATGCTATTCTAACAGTGCTGAGTCTTACCTGAATCCTGAGAGGTTCAAATCCACCAAAGTCATCATTGGGAATCATAGAGGAAATGACCTGAAAGCACAGGAAAGGCCAATCTGTGATTAAATCTGATTCAATTGACACACACACACAGATCCAGACACACACAGACACCCACCCACCCACACACAGAGACAGAGAGTGGTGTGGTGTTACTGTACCTTTGGTTTGCCCAGGAAGTCTCTCTGTCCCAGCTGTTCTACGTCCTGTTTCCTGGGGCGGAACACCTCCCCCTCTGGCACCAGGAGGACAGGGAGCACCTCTCCCCTCTGGGGATGGACACACACGCACGCGCACACACACACACACAAAGAGAGAGTGAGAGTGAGAGTGAGAGTAAGAGTGAGAGTGAGAGTGAGAGTGAGAGAGAGAGAGAGAGAGAGAGATAGATATGTAGCCATGTAGGACAGGACACCACACACCTCCATGCCAATGTCAAAGTGTTATGTGGGGATATAGCCAGGAGTTTTTCCTGGCCATGTGACTTGATCAGTGAGAAACAACCTCTGGCCCTATGTGGGGAGATTCCGATGTCTTAAGTGAATAATATTTCTGATAGTGTACTTACAGAGATAATGTCTAAAGCCACTTCCATGTTCCCTCCTCGCCCCCCTCTTCCTTTCTCCTGGGAGGCTGAGATCAGGATGTCCCGGGCTTTGTCCAACTGGTCCAGTCTAGAGTGGACAGCTGCTGCGTTATACAAGACCTGGACAACCATAGAGAAACTGTCACAACTGGCACCTTATATAGTTCACCCAATTCTCTATTTAGTGTATTACTTTTAACCAGAGCCATATGTGTACTGGTCAAAAGAAGAGCAGTATAGAAGGAAAAGGGTGCCATAATAACACTCTCCATATGCTTACACAGACAAGTAATACTCAACAACAGGCCACGAGAGAGCCTGGCTAAATTATGCTGCAATTGAAAACTTTTGTGACCCCTCATCTCTGAACAGAAAGATTTGTCTGAGTCCTACAGCCAATACGTAATTCAACTTGAATCAATAAAGGTCTCACAAATGTGGTTAATAAATCAAAAGCAATAACCACATTTGTTCTAGCTGATAGATTTGGGGAAATAAATTCCTATGTCCAGAATGCCTTCGCCTGACAGACAGACACGTAGTCGGTAGTCCAGACTGAGACAAACACAGGTAGGAATGTGTAATATGTCTTATCTTCATTATGAGAGGTATTTAATATTGCATAACCTCAGAAGGTAGGAATGTGTAATATATCTTATCTTCATTATGAGAGGTATTTAATATTGCGTAACCTCAGAAAAGTTTCCCGTTTCTTTCAATGAGGCTTTGTCAAAGATCCCTACCAGGTGGTGTATCTGGCGTCTGAATGGAAGTGTTGACATAATGGAACTGGGGATATTCTCAGTCATGAATTTGGCGGTGTGCAACCTATTTCCAATATAGTGCACTTATTTTGACAAGAGCCCTACTATAACAAGTCCCATGACCAAAATGTGTGACTTTTAAAGAGAATAGGGTGGCATTTGGGATGCAAACTTAATTCAAATATCTGGACAATTATATCTGACACTATACATTTGGATTGTCATAGATATATTTTGAATCTTGTTTAATCGTACTGTACTCCACTACTGGTACATGGTGCACACCTATAAGGTAAAAAGTCCACCTACACAGAGATCCTATTCAATTAGAGTTCTAATACTGTATGTAATTCCATGTACACCTATAAGACTGTGGTATAAGTCTACACCTATAAGGTACAAGTCCACCTATAGGATCACAGTGTTAGTATGATACAAGTCCACTGTAGCTCAATTGGTAGAGCATGGCGCTTGTAACGCCAGGGTAGTGGGTTCGATCCCCGGGACCACCCATACGTAAAAATGTATGCGCACATGACTGTAAGTCGCTTTGGATAAAAGCGTCTGCTAAATGGCATATTATTATTATCACGGTGTTAGTATGATACAAGGCCACCTATAGGACCATGGTGTTAATATGATACAAGTCTACCTATAGGACCATGGTGTTAGTATGATACAAGTGTACACCTCTAAGAGAATGGTGTAAGTCTGTTGTACCTGCCAACTGTAGAGCTTGTAGCATAGCCCCAGCTGTTTGTAATCAATGACCATGTTGCCTCTCATGTGTTTCTGAGCCGAGATACAGTCATTCAGAGCCTCCTCCAGCCTGCACACATACCCACACCCACGCACGCATGCACGCACAACACACAGCAGCAAGGAGATGTCAGATATAATGGCTGTTGGCTAAATGTCTCTTGTAATCCAAATAATGAATAAACAGTTATTTGCCTTCATAGGTTAACCAATACCGTACAATAAACCGTACAGATTCAACCTGTTCTTTACTTTAATAAAAGAGAACATTAGTAGACAGAAGAGGAACCATAATGTTGTACAGTGATCTCTTACCTGCTAGCCAGCATGAATGCTCCAGCTCTTTGGAAAAAGCCAACTGCAAGTCGCTCATCCTTTGCTATTGTCTGGTCTAGAGCCTTGACAACACAGGGTGACAGATAAATATGACACACGCACACACTCCAGATAATGATAAATCACTCTCCTCCAGACTGACCTGGATGGCAGGCTCCAGCTGCCCCAGGGCAAGGTGAGCAGAGGCAGTCAGAAACAGAGTCCGGGAGGTAGGTTCTGTGATCTGGTTGAGTTTAGACAGGGCTCCCTGCCAGTCTCTGGCATCCACTGCCTTCACCGCCTCATCCCACAACCGCAAAAACTCTTTGTACAACATCCTCCTCCTGTGATAGGAAGTTTAATATAAAAAAAAAGTTAAGACAAGTGGGAAGCAGAATAATTGTATACACTGCAATTTTAAAGAAACAATCTGGTAAATTTTGGTACATCAATTTTTGCACTTTTAAATTATTGATATAGAGCCATTGTAGTTTATATTGCCTCTGTTGTTTTTCAAAACCCAGTGTCAAGGTTGAGTGTAGATGTGGTGTGGAATCAAGCGCAGGACACACAGAGGCTTCGTACTAACGTCTTTAGTGAAGACAACAAAAGAACAAGCCAACACGGCTAAATACAAGGAGCAGCCTCGGCCGAAACCGTGACACCCAGATAGCCTATTTAACCAATAACCTCGACAAGACTGAGTGCAATAAAGAAAATAACTAAATTACTCTGGGAATTTAAGAAATGTTATTTTCAACATTTCATGTAGGCCTACAATGTAATAACTGGACTCACTGGTGTGGTAGCCTTTATGAAGGGGGGGAAATAACACAACACATCATTTTAAAAAGAGCATCCCAGTCTTTCATATGTAATAATCAACCACATGCAAGCTAGAAGGACTTCCTTAAATATATCTTGCATTTAAATATGTATTTAAATCATTGTTAAATATATACTAAAACATTTTTACTTACAGGTTTTCCCTCCAACACTTAAAACATAAACAAGAAGAGAATCCTATCGTCAGTTATAGGTTCCTGGTAAGGTATTCCACCTGAGCACAAGTCTCCCTCAGGATTGCAACAGGTAGTGAAGGCTCCATGCTTTGGGAACAGCAGTGAGTGAGTCACAACCCTGCTCTACAAGGAAGTCAGTAGCATGCCCCGGGGTAGGGAGGGGAGCAAGCAAACAGGGCAGGGAACCTGGGCTGTTTCTCATATGGCACCCTATTCTTGACCAGCATCCATAGGGCAAAAGTCAAAAGTAGTGCACTATATAGAGAATAGGGTGCCATTTGGGACATACCAAATGACAAAGTTTCACTGATTCAAAAAGGGCGAGACTACAGTTGCAGGTCATGGCTGATTCACACACTTTTTTATAACACACTCATTATGAAACTAGGATGCATTCATTTACATTCTGGTCATTCAAATTGACCTTTGAAACTTGGACTTTAAATGGATGTTCAAGAAGAGGAAGAAGGAAGGAAAATATAGTTGCCATAAAGTTTTTACCTGTCTACAAGATCTGCTTTCCTTGAGCGCTCACCTTTCCAATTGAATGATAGTTGGCTTACCTCCTTTACAAGCTATGTTGTTGTGATAAACAACAGGTTCTGCTCCATAGCTTCTCTATAAATTAAATGAAACATATGGTTAAATAAACTATGCATTTGTTAATAAATACATATCCCTGAGGAATCATATTATTAATTAATCATAGACAAATTGTCAACATAAGGCCAAAGTTATTGCTGGACAATTGGCCAATAGTGTCCTCTAGTGGCAATTTCTGAAAGTGAAAGTGATACAAGTAATACAAAGCACTCATACAATACCTACTGCATTCAGAACTGTCTGGCAGGACGGCACAGTATCCCTTCTATGGTTGACCCCCACAATGTAGCCTCAGAATCACAGGCAATAGCTTCACATGCCATGCTTCTAGTCTAGAAGAGACTACCGGACATTCAAAATGTTAAACCACATACTCTATGGCAGGGGTACTCAAATAATGTTTGAGAAGGTCTGGTGACACATTTCCTAGGTGGCAAAGGTCCGGACGGATATGTCATTTGTCAGTTTAGTAACAAACCCCCACCTCACAACCCATGCGACCCCAAACTGTTCACACCCTTCTTGTCCTGTTTTCCCCCGCTTTCATCACTCAAAATGGCCAGTATAGGAGCATCATGGCAAAAACGGACAGACTGCATGGCCAAACATTCAGGTTGCTGAATAGCCACCACTAGTCATCTACCTGTTCCCCTCCTGCCCCACAGACTTCCTGAACATTATCAGATCTTCAACCAAAACCTAATATTAGATAAAGTGAACCTGTTTACAAATAACAACAAAAATTGACACTTATTTTAATCAATTAACAACGTTATGCAACACCCAATTCCCCTGTGTGAAAAAGTAATTGCCACCTTACACTCAATGACTGTTTGTGCCACCTTTAGCTGCAATGATCGCAACCAAGCGCTTCCTGTAGTTGTTCATCAGTCTCTCACGTCGCTGTGGAGGAATTTTGGCCACACAATACCCCATAATGGCAAAGCAAAAACAGGTTTTTATAAATGTTTGCAAATGTATAAAACTGAAATATCACATTTCCATAAGTATTCAGACCCTTTACTCAGTACTTTGTTGAAGCACATTTGGCAGTGATTACAACGTAGAGTCTTCTTGGGTATGACACTACAAGCTTGGAACACCTGTATTTGGGGAGTTTCTCCTATTCTTCTCTGCAGATCCGCTCAAGCTCTGTCAGGTTAGATGGGGAGCGTCGCTGCACAGCTACTTTCAGGTCTCTCCAGAGCTGTTTGATCGGGTTCAAGTCCGGGCTCTGGCCCGGCCACTCAAGGATATTCAGAGACTTGTCCCGAAGCCACTCCTGTGTTGTCTTGGCTGTGTGCTTAGGGTCGTTGTCCTGTTGGAAGATGAACCTTCGCCCCAGTCTGAGGTCCTGAGCACTCTGGAGCAGGTTTTCATCAAGGATCTTGCTGTACTTTTCATCTTTCCCTTGATCCTGACTAGTCTCCCAGTCCCTGCCGCTGAAAAATATCCCCACAGCATGATGCTGCCACCACCATGCTTCACCGTAGGGATGGTGCCAGGTTTCCTCCAAACGTGACGCTTGGCATTCAGGCAACGAATTCAATCTTGGTTTCATCAGACCAGAGAATCTTGTTTCTCATGGTCTGAGAGTCCGTTAGGTGCCTTTTGGCAAACTCCAAGCGGGCTGTCATGTGCCTTTTACTGAGGAGTGGCTTCCGTCTGGCAACTCTACCATAAAGGCCTGATTGGTGGAATGCTGCAGAGATGGTTGTCCTTCAGGAAGGTTCTCCCATCTCCACAGACGAACTCTGGAGCTCTGTCAGAGTGACCATCGGGTTCTTGGTCACCTCCCTGACCAAGGCCCTTCTCTCCTTATTGCTCAGTTTGGCTCGGAGGCCAGCTCTAGGAAGAGTCTTTGTGGTTCCAAACTTCTTCCATTGTGTTCTTGGGGACCTTCAATGCTGCAGACATTTTTTGGTACCCATCCCCAGATCTGTGCCTCGACACAGTCCTGTCTCGGAGCTCTATAGGCAATTGCTTCGACCTCATGGCTTGGTTTTTGCTCTGACATGCACTGTCAGCTGTGAGACCTTACATAGACAGGTGTGTGCCTTTCCAAATCATGTTCAATCAACTGAATTTACCACTGGTGTACTCCAATCAAGTTGTAGAAACATCTCAAGGATGATAAATGGAAACAGGATGCACCTGAGCTCAATTTCGAGTTTCATAGCATACCTTATATAAATAAGGTATTTCAGTTTTTTTTGCAAACATTTCTCAAAAAAACTTTTCGCTTTGTCATTATGGGGTATTGTGTGTAGATTGATGAGGGACAATTTTATTTAATCATTTTTAGAATAAGGCTGTAACAAAATGTGGGAAGAGTCAAGGGGTCTGAATACTTTCCGAATGCACTGATATATATATCCAGTATATGCCGTCTTGTGATTTTGTTCCATTCTATTATTTTACTTAATATTATTACTATTATTATTACTATTATGAGAGGAATTGATGATGCTGACGGGAGAGGTTGTGTTTTCTCTAGCAGGAGGTAAGCTTGGCTTCTTATATGGTGTTGAGTAAAGCTTAAACCATGTATTTAGATTGTAGGTAGGTATTGTAGTTAGGTATTATAGGTAGTTTACTCAGGTAGTTATTGTAGGTTATTGTAGGTAATTATTGTAGGTAAGGACTGTATTCGGCGGACCCCGGCGAAGCACGAGGCTAGCTTACCCACTACTTGGACCAACAAAGCTAGCTAGCTAGCGGGTAGCTACCGGTAACTTTTAGCAACTGTGGTTAGCTGTTTCCAATGTTATTTCACGCTTAAGAGTACCTGTAATTGAGCCAGCTAGCTGCCACCTTCAGCTGTTTTTCTAACCTCATTATCATTAACGTTAGGTGGTTGGTAGCTGCTGTACTTAATTTCGGCCACTGATTGCAGTCTGCCAGTTTGGCTTTATACATAGCTTGGGCTTTGTCGAGTAAGGCTTAAACTATGTATTTAGATTGGAGTTAGGTACTATAGGTAGGCATCGTGGGCTGTATATTATTAAGTAGTATAGGTAGGCATCGTGGGCTGTTGTGGGTAGCTGTTGTGTAGTTATTGTAGGTTACTTTTGTATTCGGCGGTGCCGGGTGTAGCACGAAGCTAGCTAGCTAACTCACCTCCTGGATTAGCTGGCGAGTTGCTATTAGCAACGGTTGCAACTAAAAACAATATCCTTTTAGCCAGCTACATTCGTTCGCAGCGACGCCGTTTTTCAAACAAAGTCAACACAGTAGCCATTGCTAGCCAGCCAACACTACCAGCTGGCTGTACTGTGGTAGCTAAATACAATATCTTTGTGCTAGCTACCCAACGTTTAATCATTGCTGCGTTATGAAAGGTAAGCTTGGCTTCTTATATGGTGTTGAGTTAAGCTTAAACCATGTATTTAGATTGTAGGTAGGTATTGTAGTTTGGTATTATAGGTAGCTTACTCAGGTAGTTATTGAAGGTTATTGTAGGTAATTATTGTAGGTAAGGACTGTATTCGGCGGACCCCGGCGAAGCACGAGGCTAGCTTACCCACTACTTGGACCAACAAAGCTAGCTAGCTAGCTAGCGGGTAGCTACTGGTAACTTTTTGCAACTGTGGTTAATTGTTTCCAATGTTATTTCATGCTTAAGAGTACCTGTGATTGAGCCAGCTAGCTGCTACCATTCAGCTGTTTTTCTAACCTCATCCGAGGCATTAACGTTAGGTGGTTGGTAGCTGCTGTAC